GAAAGGGAAGGGTGGAGTAAGTAGACATTTTTTCGCACCGAGCTAGACACATAATAGTTCGGCGTCCCCTAGAATATTGACCCTATTGTCAGCTGATTTTATGATTTATTTATTTTAAATTTCACTGCTGGTTTAATGTTTAAGTATTTTTATGATTTTTCTAATGAAATTATCGTTTTATTTAGCTGTACCAACATGATGGGACGTGAATAAATCTAATAAAAGGTTTTGAAAAAATGATTTTTTTTCCTCACGATCGATTTTATTTCTCACCCACGATCAAATGTATAGTTATATTAGTTAAAGGTATAGTATAGATAAGTACTATCGTCTGTCTTCGTTTTCGGGAGCTTTTCACAAACACCCGCTATACTACTATTTTGCATACTTTTTACATTTCCAAAAACACTCAAATCAAAGCTTTAAAGCTAAATATTTCGCAAACAGATCCGTGAACCTGAATAGAAAAGATGTTGTTCCACACCTCCAGTATTTTTGAAAGACCTATCCAACGATACCGCACATGATGGAATAGACGGGTAAAAAAAATCATCCTCCATTTACTTGTATGGGAAGTACCTGAAATAAAAATGTTTTTTAAGATTTTATTTCACAGTTTTGTAGGCACGAATAATATTTATAACTATGCCAAATTACAGATTTTTAGCACCTAGGTTCTTTGAGCAAAACCTCGAACGGACGGGCGGACGGACGGACGGACATGGCGAAACTATAAGGGTTCCTTGTTGTGTAACCACGGAACCCTAAAAATTGCAATATATAGATAATGAGTGTTTTGCAATAATTGTAGTAATTATTTAAAGATATTGTTACCCCAATCTCGTAAGCGTTTTCTTCACGTCAGCCATCACGTTGTCAACCCGATTGTTCACTTGGTCGATTCGGGTTTCAGCTTCCGACAGGCGGTTGTCATGTTGAGCAACCCTACCTCTTCCAACCGACGGGCCTGTTCCTCCTGTCGGCGGGCCTGCTCCTGCAGCATCATCATCAGAGCACCTAAGTCAGGTGCTACAGATGCAGGAGCTGCTGACGGGCCGGCCTCCGTGGTCGGCAGCTGGCCCGCCGACGTCTGCAAAGTTGCACCACCAAATCGTCTCTGGTCCGTCTCCTGTTGGCGTTGACTTCGGGTACGGATACCCTCCGTGTCGTCTTTAGGTAAAATCGGCATATTTGATCCCACTTCTGACACCAATTGTTACGAGCTTGGGGTTCGAGACAATTAAAACCTGCCGGTTGAATTACCTAAATTGACACATTAATTACAGAACACTAACTACAATTTAAAACCACACTAATAATAAAACACAATTGTACTACTGATCACTTCAGTTTGCAGTTACTTCGCTTCGAAGTATTCGCTTGTATCGCCAATCCAATACTGACTCGGTCGTGGTCTATACCGGCCTTATATAGGGCCTCAGATAGTTTCCTGAACCTTCTAATGTGGAAACATCTAGTACGTTCGAGTACAAATCGGTCCCGAAATTTCTAGGAGGATCTTGACTCTTGATCTTGCCATGTACAAGACATTAATAGTGGCGCGCAACAATATAAAAAAAATTATTTATAATATTTAATTTATTTATATTAGTAACTGGAGGCAGAATGAATAAATATTTTTGTGTATTATCATAGACAACGCTGTTTTGAAAAATTGAGATGTAGATTGTCAGCTTAGTTTCACCATATTACACAACGATTGAAACTAATTATAGACTTTTTTTATAACCACCACGATCTAGGCAAGGCAAGTTCTAGGATCCACTTATCCAAAGTTGAAGAAAAGAACCACTAAACATTTGTGCTGCGCAGCAACTACGACATCTTAGAAAATACTCTATTTAAAAGCTGGTCATAATCTGTGTCAACAAAGAAACGGATTAAAAGGAAAACTCCTGACAAAGTTACTATTTTTGCAGTCAAAAATATTGTGAATGTATTTCTTTTTGTAATTACCGTAATAAATACATTATTATAATAAACAAAATAATCCTAGGTTATTTTTTCTTTGCCACCTAAAATATCGATGTTTTCGGACATCTATATCCTTTGGATATTTATCGTACATCGATACTTTGGAATCAATGTTAACAACTGCGACTTGTTGAAAAAGAGTAGCAAAGAGTGGTCTTCCACAAACTAATAAGAAGTACGCGAGTTGTCCCCCCCCCCCCCCCCCAGAATATACGAGGCAGCCTGAGCATCCAGTGAGGGTTTCCAAGATCATCGGTGCTCGTGCTGCACACGCACACTGCTGCGTGGCTCTATCACTTAAAAAATTATAACTTATCAATAAGTTTGCCAACAAGTTTTGTTCTACAGCATATGCGTAAACGTAAGAAATTTATTAAAATATGATCCGCAAACATTTACAAAAAAGTTAAAGACAGCTGCTATATGTGAGAGGCTAGGCTATTAGTAGTTTTGATGTGATGATGAAGTATAAGAGCGTTCGTAAAAATATTTGCAGTTGCAATAATATTCTTATTATTACTATGTTCCGATATACACTGCGAACACACTCAGTGGTAAAAAGTTCGTTCCGTTATGGACTGCCAGTATACTGCCGCAATACCCTAGGGAAATGTACTGTCAGCACTAGCATTTTCGAGGTAAGGTACTCTCAGAACTTGGATCACGAGATCAAAAAACATAACAGGGCCTAGAGATTTAACAGCTTCCAGGAATGATTGTTATTATTAATTAATTAATATTATGATTGAAATAAACTCGGACATTAAGTTTTAAAAGCAACTTCATTCAAATAATAATTTTTCTTGTTGAACAGAAAACGTGTACATGGTAAATATTTTCACTTGAAAACAATGTCGAAAATGGGGATGGGAGTATACTGGACTGCGTCCCGTTTTAAACAGTAAGACGCCCATTACATGCGTAGGCAATCGTCAATCACTTCGATCAATCATGATTGACGATTGAATGATAGAATCATTTCGACATTACACGCTCATGCTGACTGATGTCAGTCAAACCCAAATTTTCGGAGGGAAAGGACCTACCTATAAACTAAATTCATTTTCGATTCACCATTTAACTATAATTTTATATCTTGAAAAGAAAAAGAAAAAAAAACGAATAGGAAAAATTGTAATTTTTAATATCATTTTACCCATTTTAATTTAACGCGCGCCAATGTTCGACCTCTTGGAGTGCATAATCGATACGCGGCTTTATTTGAAATGCATTTATGGATGAAAAATAAGCTTACCTTTTATATTTATTTGTATAGGGTGGATGCCCCTATTACCAGCCTTTTAGTGTTAATTTCAATTTCCTTTTCTGTACCTAATGCCAGCATAGTATAGCCAGCCTTTTGAGTTTTTGATAGGTACCTATTGTAGGTAAGTAGGGCACTGAAATAAATTCATAACAACTTTTAATTTTAAATCATACATGACACAAGCATGGAAAATGTATTAAGATAGACGACAACAATTATTTTATTTTAATGTTTTTCTTCTTACCTTACTGTGGTTTAGCTTTAAGCAGTTCCATTTTTCTTTTAACATTAAACAATTAATTAAACAAAATTATAATGAAAATTATGTATTATAGTACACCGATTTCTTATAATTTAATCATCCAAGTTTTTGAATCTTCATCATCATTTCAGCTCTTCACAAGTCGACTACAGAACATCATCCTCCATAGACTGCCGCAAAGCATGGTCCTGAACCACTTTTCTTGTTATGACTTTTTCATTTATGTTCTTAAGTTATAGTAAAATTAGTATTACTAAGTTGTAGTTAATTACATTTATTGTTTGTTTTTGTCTTTCTCAAAAAATAACTAAATATTGTATGGTGTTTTTAACATATAACAAATGTCCGAAAAGCAAGTACGTATCATTTGTTAAACTTTTAAATCAAAAACCAATTTTAAAATAAAAACGAATTGATCATAACTTCCTTAACTATAAAATAAGTTATGTTCTAATTAATGGTATTCTAGTTTATGACAGCCCTGATTTATATTACGTGGCTGAAATTAGGTACTTCTTATTATGTACGTCAAACCAAATAATAGCCGGGCGACTGACATTATGCACTCCATAAATTTCGTATATCTAATTACAGCCCCATTAATTTCCACTAAAATAAAATAAATAACTTATAGATTTAAATAAAAATAGCTGCATTACTATGTCTATAGTCACATTCATACAAATCAAAAAGTGTAAAGATGAGCTAATGTAAAATATGCTTAATTGTGTCGGGACCAGGGAAAATGAGCGTTTTTCGTTGCGTGCGTGTTTTGATTTTTAATTTAACACTGTTAGGTTTAAAACTGTGAGGTAATATTTGAAATATACTTTCCTCTAATTACGAAGAATTTTTAGCCGACAATATTTGTAGTTAAGACTACTAGAAATTTTATTTACGAAGTAAAAAGGCGGAAAGGTTGGAATTAGGGGCATCCACCCTACCCGGGGTTTTTCGTGTCCCACAACTCTGGGAGAGCCTCAAAATTTAAAATAAAATCTTTTTCTGGCTGAAGCACATTTGGCGGGAGTGGCAACTGGCTGCGCGAGCGCGTGGAAGCCGCCTCTTCAATATATTCTGCGCCCGTCTCCATTGCTGTCTAAGCGTTACTGACGCGTGATTGACGAAATGCCATTACATGTTCAATCAAAATTCGTGACTGATAGTTGATTGTCGTAAAAATCAAAATATCCAGATATTTGTCAATCAATTTCATGCAACCGTCAATTACCGCATTACACGCTAGGTTGTTCGTCAATTACAACCGTGATTGTTGTAAAACTGACAGCAGAACCTACCGTGTAATGGGCGTCTTACAGTGGTCACAGTGTACATCGGAACCCACTCTATATGTATGAGATCGCCTTAAAGAACTCATAGACAATAATGCATACTAGAGACAATACTATTGTCTCTTGGCAGACTTGGCGCTCTGATCAAAATTGAATTGAATTGAAACAAATTTACGACGTCAATATGGCGGATAAATGGGAAAGTAAGTTTTGTTTATATTTTTATTGCGTGAATTATTAACTACATATTAATTGATAATAAAATTTAAATTATTTAGTAAAATTCTTAATAGGACCTCTTTGTAAATGAAGTGATCAGTGCAGTACTTTATCTGTAAAGTATCAAATATTTTTGATTCTAAAGGTTCAAAATTTGAAAATTTTTAAATTTTTAGTTGTGTTGACATGGACTACTGTGATGACAATGTTAACAAAATCATACTAGTTGATTATTAGCATTGTTTTAAAGAATTAATAAAAGCAGTATCGATTAAAACTTGAAAATGGCTATCTAAAATTATGAATTCTTTTATCTTCAAGGTAATCACGATGATGGAAAAAATTCAGCGAGAGTACAGTATACAGTCAAAAATGAACCAATGGATACAGACTTTCCGGAAGAAGATAATTCTCCACCTGCTTTCGGACCTGCCGCACTTGGTCTTCATAGAGTTGGCACAAAGTTACCGCCAAAACCCGCGCCTAGCGAACCAGTACAAAAACTTAATGCTCGGGGTATGCCCGCTCGTATCAGAAAGAAAAACAGATTTATTTTTGTTGATGATTTTGTGAATACGTCTCCACCTCGCCGGGCACCTAAAGTGCTGGCTAAAACTCCAAATAAACCACCAAGTGCTAAAAAGCAGAAGACACCAACAAAAAGCCAGAAAAATGTTGATAGATTTGAAGAAAAACCTACAACACCTGGAAGTCAGTCACCAGATCGAAAAAGTGGCCAAAGAATAGGTATGAGACTTAGAAATTTATTAAAATTACCTAAAGCACATAAGTGGGTTTGTTTTGAATATTTTTATAGTAATATAGATAAAGCCCTGTTTGATGGAGAAAATGATTTTATGATTTGCCTTAAAGAGTCTTTTCCACAATTAACAAATCGCAAACTTACTCGAGTTCAATGGGCAAAAATACGTCGAATGATGGGGAAACCTAGAAGATGTTCTCAAGCATTTTTTGCAGAAGAGCGTAAAGAACTTGAAAGAAAAAGGAAATTAATAAGATATATTCAACAAAGGAAAACAGCAGATATTTGTGTTAAAGATTTACCAAATGAAATTCCTATGCAATTGGTAGTTGGTACTAAGGTTACTGCAAGATTGCGCAAGCCTCAAGATGGACTATTTACAGGCTGTATTGATGCTGTAGATACATCTAATAATACTTATAGAATAACTTTTGAGAGACCTAAATTGGGAACACATTCTGTCCCAGATTATGAAGTATTGTCTAATGAACCGCCTGATACTATAAATCTTTCATCTGTAACACAGAAGTTTAGGCCTAGATATGTTATGCAAGAAATTTTTAATTTATATCAACCTTCAGTACCTGCTAATATTAATAGTCAAGGTGATCCTATGATTGGCTGTAGTGAAATATCTAAACACATGGACTCAAATATTGGCAGTTTTCCCTTTGCGCTACTGGAATTGATAGTGAAATTAGCAAAGATATTGCAGGCTAAAAAAAATAAAATAAATAGGTTAAAAGAATACAATAGTGAAGCTGAGAAAAGAAAACCTTTTGGTCAGAAATTACCTGAAGATTTTGAAAGAAAATATGCTGCTGTTGTTATTGATCTGGAGAGAATGAATATGGATTTACAAGAATATATAAATCAAGTGCAGCAGTACTGTCAACAAATTGCACCTGGTCCTAGTTTGGCTGCCATGCTAGCACCCTCTCACCTGAGAGAAAAATGTCGTGAAGAAGCAGCTATGCTTGTAGAAAAAAATAATAATGGTTATTTAAAAGATGCAAACATCATTGATCTCATTACAGATTTAACTGCTTTAATGTTGCAAGTAAAAAGTTTGTCTGATTCTGATCAAAATGCTTATGAATTAAGTGTTTTGCAAGGTACTATGGATCAGATTAAAATGAAGCTTGAGCCTCAGCACCAGAGATTATTTCAAAATAATGTAGAGATTCACATGCAGAGGATTCAAATGGGCTTAGGGCAAATGTCATCTAACAGTTATGTTGCTGGCACATAATTTTTTCATTTTTAGATTATTTTATCAAATATGTATTTGTTATTATTTAATGAATTTATAAAGAAGAGTAGAATAAATTGTGTTTTTTTATGAATATAAATAACACCTTATTCTTAAATGTATTATCATTAGGTTGTTCAAATTCATAGATTTTTTATTATAATGAATTTTAAAAATTCACATGTACCTTGGTGAGCTTGAGTTTAAAAGCTACCTATATTAAGAAATATTGGATAAAACATTAACTTGTATGACAGTTGTTTTAATATACTTTAATTTAGTATACTTAAATGATATTGTTTTTTGTTTAGAATAAAGGACAATCTGCTCATTTAAAATTGGCAAATAAAAAACTATATTACATAATAGTTTTATTTTATAGAATAAGGGTGACAAACTAGCACAGTCCACTGGAAGTAAGTGGATACTGTGGCCTATAGACATCTACATTTATCCTCAATTAATCAAAATACTGATGCATTGTCACCCCTGAGGACTAAGATAAAATGCTTTGTTTACAGTAAAAAGGGTCTCTGGTTCTCTTACACACCATATGAAACAGCAGCATTGCTATTTTCCGTGGTATTCTGTGAAAGCATGGTCCTATCCTGGACGAGCTGTACCCATTGTAGCAAATTTACGCCTATCTACTATGTCTAGATGCTTTTTAGTATCCAAATAAAATTATTTACATAATAAACTAGCTCTACTAAGCACCTAAATGTAAATGGTGAAATGAATAATGGATTTTTCACTCAACTAGTGTGGTGTCTTGGCTTAGCTCAATAATAGTCCTTTTATAATTAGCCTATAAGAATACATTTAATAAAGATGAAGGCTATTTCTCTTTTATATTTTACATAACATCAACACTAACTACCTACTATTCTGTCTTCCTTTGAATGATAAATAGGGTAGCTAGTAATTACTTATTGTATTAGTAAAATAAATTCTTCATACCCCACTACATTGCAATAAAAAAACAACAATTAAAATTACAATGTATTTAATCACTACATTCAGGAGAAAAATTTAAAGAATATTAAATAACGTTGTAGTTACCTGGGAATGTGGTACGGATAAACAATTAACTGAAAAAATATAGTATAATGCAATTGCAATATACTGCAACTAAAACTTTTTTAACATAATAAAATTTTAAATACAGAGTAAACTCCATGTAACGTCACTCGATTTAACGACAAACTCTCTAAAGCGTCGAAATCACTAGGCTTTGGTTGGTTTAGCTTGTCTTCCATACAATGTTACATTCTATATAGCAATACACCCACTCTCAATTAAATAATAAAAAGTACATTTTAAGTTGCAAAAATTAGTGCACAGCTGTGTATGTTCATTTGTCAATTTATTATCCTAGCCCGTAATAAACTCGACTGTCGGCATCATACATACCAAACTCTTAGAAATCCGTTGTTTTGTTTACAAATTGGGATTGCGTGCACGTGTAGACTGTTCGTGGATTATCTATACGTTATCATATTCTTAGTTGCTCACAGACTTTCAAACTGCAAACATGGCAAGTAAGAGAAAATCAATGTGTATTGACGAATGGATCAAGCTGTACTATCATGGTTTCACCGACAGTGCCAGAATAATATGACTATCTCGGTGCCGATCGTAAAAGCTAAGGCGGAGAAGTTTGGTAAAGATATTGGTTTAACTTCTTTCAAATCATCAGAAGGATGGCTCGGAAAATTCAAACAACGTCATCATATCAACTATGGTAAAATTAGTGAAGCACGAAGTGTTGATACAAATCGGCGTTGACGCCGCAAAAGGGGCGAACCTCAATATTTCAAGAAATTACAGAAGAGCAAGAAAACATTTAAGTATTATTCCCCGATTACTAGCTTTTTTCATCAGAAAATCAAATATATTAGACTTTATGAAAAACTACAAATAAAATTGTCTGTCCACTGTCCTGCCCACCATCTTATATCAAACCTTCAAAATATAGAGTTGACATTTCTTCCTCCAAATACGACTAGTGTCTTGCAGCCAATGGATCAAACCGTGATTAGCTTCAAGGGTCAATACCAAAGGAAATTATTGATGGAGCTAGTCGAATCTGATGGTAAAACTTCTGTTAATATGCTGAATGCATTAAATTTTTTATCTAAAGCCTGGGAAGAAGTGGGTGTCAACCCATAACTATACAGCACTCTTTTCGACATGCTGGACTTTGTACAAATTCTATGAGTGATAAGGTGGAAATGGAACCGGAGTTTGATAGCGACGACGACCTTCCATTATTTTTTATTTAAAAAAAAGTTACCCCTACACTAGGATTTTCTCTTGTGTCTCTTGTTTACAAACATAAATTGCATGAAGACAAACATCCAGACCCGGAAAAATTATTAGTAGACCATACAAATAATTGTTCCGTGCGGGATTCAAACCCGCGTCCCCCAGCGCATCAACTCATTGCTAAGCCACTGCGCCACGGAGCCGTCGAACTGGGTGGATTCAACAATTCAAAATAGCAGACAAATTTACAGAAAATCTTCAAACCTACATAGAAGTAGACGACTGCCTGCTTACAACGGCTTTATTCACTGACAAAGAAATTTTGGATTTGGTAAGAAAAACTGACGATCAAGAACAAAGGAGATCAGAAGATGAGCCTGAGCCTCCGCCGATCATTAAAGAAGCTCTTGAAGCAGCAAAATTATTGGAAAAGTACTTTCTTTATCACCAAGATGATTCAATATCGCAAGATATGAATAAAATAAGTAAAAAAATACAACACAGTCACTGGTGCAGCAAAATACGTCACACGAAAATAACAGATTATACGCAATAGCATTCAAATAACAATTGTTTTTATGTAATTATTACACTGGTCTGAAATGAACTTTTTCTTTTTCTAATACAGATTTTTCTTCATTCCATTTAACAAAACGTTCCATATAACGTCAAAATATGCACAGTCCCTTTAGTATAGTTATATAGAGTTTACACTGTATTACATTTACATAATGCTAATGTACATAAATTTTCAAAACAGTTCACTGTTTATACTTATTCAATGTGTTTAATAAATCATCAGCTTCCTCTGAAGTTTTTACCCTTATAAGTATGGGAACAGGTGGTGGTTTTGCTTCTGGACTTGGAATACAAACCATCATGACATTATTTTTACCCATACGCTGAGTTGGGATGGAAGAACTTAGAACCATGTTAAGTAAAACATTTCCCAAATTTGTGTTGGCCCGTACTAATAGCTGATGTTTTTCACTGTCCTTAATTTTTTTTATGTAGAGTGTACCAACACCTTTATCTACAAAGTTACCATCCTTCTTAACAAATATTTTGCAACGTTTATCAAATACACTATTTTCTTCCACAACTGGAGTGAATTCCACCTTTGGTGGTTCATCTTCTTCTTCATTGTTTTCACTAGGCTTATCCGTATTTTCTTGTACCTGTATATTAGAGTTGAAATTAAAAGGTTTGTTCGTTCCAAATGAAAATGCAGGTTTACCATTTGTGTCTGCCGCTGAATTGCTTCCAGCAAATGGGGATGTAGTTGTGGCAGTGCTTTGGGTTGAATTTAAAAATGAAAATCCACCACTAGTAGTGTTAGTACTTGCTGATGATGTAAAACCAAAAGAAAAATTCCCTGATTGAGTGCTTTTTGCACCAAATATTGATTTTGGTCCATTCTCAGATGCAGTAGTGAATGAAGTTGAAGCTAACACATTGGTAGCAGGTGTTGTATTACTTTTTATAGGTGTTGCTTGATTTTCTATTGGTTTTGATTCATTATCCTTATTAATTTTTTCTTCTTCGTTTTTGTTTTTATACTCATCTTGAATTTCTTTTAAATATTTTTCATAATCTTTGAATATTGGTGTTAGTATACACAAAGGTGTTTCCTCCACATGCTTTTTGATCCATTCAGATACAGATTCGTTTAATCCCTTTAATTTACTGTAGTAAGTCAATTTTTTGTCCTCAATCTTTTCTGAATTAGTATTACCTTCTTTTTTATTCTCAGTTTTAACATCCATGGCTGTATTTGTTAGTTGTGATGGTGCACTAGAGACTGGTTGCATTTGAAATGCTGTTGAACTGCTAGGAGTAAATAAAGACTTAGTGTTGCTAAAACTTGAAGAAGCTGTACCAAATATTGTAGATGACACTTGTGAGCTTGACACTTCTGGTTGTTTATAATTGAAACTATTGGTAGTTACTTGTGTTTTGAATGGGTTATCATTCACAGTAGAATCAGCCTTAGTTGCAGTAAAAATTGATTGAGCTACACTTGAAGTAGGAGCCCCAAAAACTGATGATGATTCTGTTGTTGGCTTTCCAAATGATGGTTTAGCAGGAACTGAAGAAACAGGTGATGTAAAAATGCTACTACTGGACATACTTCCAAATGGTTTGCTAGTAACATTAGTAGATTGTGTTACACTATCAGTTGTGGCTGCAGAACTAGTATTGGTTTTGCTGCCATTAGTTAAATTAGCCAAGAAATCGAATGATGAGGGCTGTGTCTTATTGAAACCACCAAATCCACTAAAGACTGCTTTTTTTGTCTGTAAGAAAAAAAATACATAACATTATACTTGTTGAATCATAAAATACATTCTTTAAAATAGATTTAAAACAGAAAATTCACAATAAATTCCAGTAAATAGAGTAAGCCGTGTGAAGGTGGCCTAAAATAAGTCATCACCATATTTCATTATATATATGGTGTCATAAGGGGAGGTTACAAAAATGCCAAAAAGATCTTATGGCTTTCAATAGATGGTAGAACAAACATTTGTTTAAAATGAAACTCAGTGACAGTAGCACCATCAAAGAACCGTAATTATAGTAATTTTGAATTTCTTTTCGATATAATAGTAATAAAATTTGTAAGCTTAGAATAGATTTACTATTAATAGTCTATCAAAAATAAATTCTAAGATAATTATTTAAATTCAGTTAAATTTAGTTTCAGTAGATTAATTATCATCATCATCATCATGGACCTTTACAGGACCACTGCTGAACATAGGAATACTACAAAACATGGTCTTTAGCCACCTGCATGTCTCACCAGATCTTCACTCCATCTAGCTGGCTGCCACCCTACATTTAACTAGCTAAACAAATTGATGCACTATTGTGATTGTGAAGGATTTCAATATTCATATTCAAGTACTAAAGCTAATTAAATGGTAACAAATCATGTTTTATTTTTCATTTTATTTAAAAAAGAATATGTTATTTCATAAAATCTTGCAGTTAACACATTTTTTTAATAATAAATCAGTGCAACAATCCCTTGTGGTGGTGATTCCTGGTTAGTGATGTAGCTCTATGTGGTATAGTGCATTTGCTTATGAAACGCCTTCGCCTTGCCATACCACTTGTGTATAGATATATTAATTTTACACAGCATGTTTTCTTACTTCAAATGTTATTTATGTTATTCTACACTAATAGATAAAAAACGACATATTGTTAAAATATAGTCAACAGGTTTGATTAATTCAGTAAGCATTAAAATTATTGTTTAATAGGTATTTATCTATTTATTTTATATAATATAACACTTGCCCCATCTCCAACATTTTGGGTTCGTCGTTTGGCGATTTTTATAACTCGCTTTTCAAGAACGTCTTCAGGTGCAACTTTAAAAGTGCCCATTTCTTCCTCATCCTTTTCTTCTTGATCCCAATTTTCATGATTAAGATCTGTTGTAGCTCTCCTTTTTACTGACATAACGCTCTAAATTTATAATACTAGCTTTATCTGGTTAGATACAAATAGAGACTATAATAGCAATTTTGATTAAGAAAGTACTGTGGGTGAAAATGATATTTGGAAAATAGAAAAAATCAATATTGGTTAACACATGATAAATCTATTCTCAGGTTATCACACAATACAAAATTTGGATTTTCACTGCATATATCTTCAGTCTTCAGTTAGAGAGTAGTATAATATACTCCTTGGCATGTATATACTTGAGTGATTTAAAGATATTTCTATATAGGACTGCTTATTAAATTTAAATCGCATTTAATTTTTTTATTTTACTTCTTCATTCTCAGAATTCACTCACGGCAATCTATGGTTCTACGGCAGTCATCTACGCTACGGTAGGGATGTGAAAAAATAATAGATTTTCATATTAATCGATTATTTTTTCTTATAATCGTTTTTTTGGAAGTCGATTTTTTTATAATAAAAATCGATTTTTATGTAAATTACGCGTTTCAATCGATTTTTGTAATCAGAGTCATCTGTGCGATGGATGTAAAAACGTGAAGTAAGTTCAATAACATGAATAAGTCAATCAAAAGACGGCGCCACCTTTATGTATCTCTATGTATGTAAAACAGTTTCGCTTTTCGTATGTTTTCAACAGGTTTCTTCCTCCGCTAGGAGTAAAAGTATTCTGTGGTTTTCTTTCTTTCTTTGGTTAGTGTAAACAATTATATTTAAACAATAAAAATGTCTTGTGAAACGCGTAAAAGTGACTGACAGAAGTATTTTATGATGAAAAAATAATAGCGGCCAACACGTCAATAGGCAAAAATACTGAATTGGATCTATATATTGCGGCACCACTATCAAATCTCAAGGCAGATGCCCTCAATATATCGAGAAGCTCTGAAGGAACTTTCCCTAAACTAACCGAATTGGCTTTTAAGCACCTCTCAGTGATGGCCAGTTCCGCGCCAGCCGAAAGATTATTTTTGAAAGCGGGAAATATTGTCAGGAAAAAACGAAACCGTATTTTGGGAAAGAGACGAAGAAGAATTTTGGTGAAATGATTGTTTAACTGAAAATTCATGGCAATATTTATTTACTTTTTTTGTTTACACAAGTTTAAAAAAAGATTTGTCTTGTATTTTAGTTTTGAGATCAAATTAAAGTTTGTCGTCGGATTATTTATAATTATGTTTTTATTTTATTTTCATTCTAATTCATGTAAATGATACTGAACATTAGATGCATAATGATATTTAGACTTTTTGTTTGTTCAAACTTAGTTTGAAAAAAACTATCGTTTACTAAAATTATGGTTTCTTAATGATTTCTTATATTTACGCGAAGACTACACATTAAACGAAATTGATTTTTACTGATTTGATCACGCTTAATATAACTTTTTAATTCCTGACGTTTCGGGTGCTTCACAGCATGAAGCTAATACAAAGGGGAGACGGCATAAGCAACTGTGCACTGTGATTCTAAGTAGGTCCTGACGTCATCATAGTGGGCGTGGCTTTAGTTAGTATACTGTCAGCATTCGTCCTGTGCGCTTATGTGTTGAAAAAATCGCAAATAGATGTATTTTCGTAGTATTAAGAAGAAAAGGATGAAGTGTTGTGTTTTATCGTGTAAAAACTACTCAGATAGACGCTCTGACGTTATGGATGGCATCACATTTTATTTGTAAATAATTTTACACCTAATTTATTAAAATACTATTATGTAATTATGTAGATTAGTGTAAAGTGGGCATTGCTTTGCATCCCCTCACCCCGCAAATTGTCACGCGTTGTTTCATAGTGAAATTTAATTACAACGTCTCCTCTTTGTATTTGCTTCATGCTTCACAGCACCCATGGTCACGGGGGCAACTGAGGTCTTTGATGTCCAGATGTCATAGTTAGCCTGGCTAAATTCAGTTTTTGAATATTAATTTTTGGTCCGATCTACGCAGAATGAGCTTACAGTATCTTGAAGTCTGACAGTGGTATTTTTTTTTATACGATAAGGGTGACAAACGAGCACACAGTCCACCTGATGGTGAGTGGTTGCTGCGGCCCATAGACATCTACATCTATCCTG